CATGGGGCCACAGTTGCTATTGTGGGTAGTGCTTCAATGAACATGGTTCCATGTATATTTGTGTTTATTTCTTTAGGATGTATACCCAATAGGAGGATTGGTAGATCATATGGAATATCCAGCCCCAATGATTTGAGGGAGCACCAAATTGCTTGGTTGTACTGTTTTACATCCCCATCAGGAGTGTGTGAGGGTTCCAATCTGTGCATACCCTCTCCAGGATTTGTTGTTTTCTGTTTTGTTTCATATAACTGTGCCATCAGTGCTGAGGTGAGGTCGTATCTCATTGTTGTTTTGATTTGCATCTCCCAGATGGCTAGTGAGCTTTTTTTTTCTTTCCACGTGTTTGTCAGCCATTTGCTTGTCATTTTTTGGTGAACTGTCTGCTCATGTCTTTTGCCCACTTTTAAATTCAATTATTTGCCTTTGTTGAGGTTTTGAAGTTTTTCATAAATTTTAGAGGGTAGTTCCTTGTCTGATATATTGCTTTGGGCCAATCTTGACCTTAGTTCTTCCTCTTGTAAGCCACATCCAATCTTTCAGCAAGTCCTAGTGAATATTCCTTTAAAATACATTTCAAGTCTGTCCACATATATCCTCCACAGCTACCCTTCCAGTTCAAGCCATCATCTTCTGTCGCCTGCACCATTGCACCAGGCTCCTCATGGTCTGCTTGCTTCTACTCTTGTCCTTATGCCTGAACATTCTATTAACAGAGTAGCCAGAGGGTTCTCTTTAAAACATAAAAAGGCTATCATTTTCCTCTACATAAAACCCAAAGGCGTCTTATCCACAAGAGCTAACCACAGCTGGCTCCTGACCACCTCTCTGACTTCCTTCACTCCAAATAGCCCCTTCACTCACTGTCCTCTGGCTACACTGGCTTTGCTGTTCCTCAGTCACTCGGGGCACATTCCAACTTCAGAGTTTTTTGCACTTGATGTTTTCTCTGCCTAAAATTCTCTTTCTCTACATATTCATGTGTGGAGCCTTGGTGGTGTAGTGGTTTTGCTTGGGCAGCATTTCCAAAAGTTGGCATTTTGAAAACAGTGCCCGCTCTGCGGGGGAAAGATGGGGCTTTCCACTCCCTTCAACAGTTATGTTCTTGGAAAGCCACAGTGGGGTCGCTGTCAGTAGGTACCCACTTGAGGGCAATGAGATGTCCATGTGACTTGCTTCTTACTCAGATTTCGTCGGAGAGTCTTAAAATAGCATCTCCCTAGTATCACCCTCACTGTACTTTATGTTTCTCCAGATTGTTTGTTCTAGTAAAACTGTGTGTTTATTTGCGGTGTCCACCTTCAAATATATGTTCTCTGAAGGCTAAAGGAGCCCTGACGGCTTAGTACGGAACGCGGCGCCTGCTAACCACGCGGTGGGCAATTTAGAACCACCAGCTGCTCGGAGAAAGAGGAGGCATTCCACTCTCAGAACAAGTTAAGAGCCTTGGAGACCGACAGGGGCAGTTTCTGCTTTGCCCTATAGGCTCCCTGGGAGTCTGAATCGACTTGATGGCAGGGAGTTTGGTTTGGGCCAAGGGCGCTGAGGGCAGGGGCATGGTCTGCTTTGCTCCCTCTTGTATCCCCAGCACCGAGAGCGAGAACATCCAGGGTTCCAAATCTACATCTGAGTACTGAAGGTATGAATCAGTGTCTGCACCTGCCTACGCAGGGCACATCGTCCTCAGATCACTCCTGCTGTCACCACCCTGTCGGTCTGTAATTGTTACAGCACACACTCCTATTGCACATAACATTTACCTCCCCCTTCTGGTCCCTTCCAGCTTATGTTCCATCTTGGCACACTCCTGGGTGGCCTTCCCTTCTCCACCATACAAAATTTTCATTTAGAGTTCATTTCATAGCATAATAACTACTTGTGTATAGAAAAAGCCACTTCAACTATGATAACTGGCTCTGTCTTGGTAGTGGTGGTGAGAACAGAAAATAATAATAAGGGATTTGGAGAGTTAGACACATTAAATCCCAAAGTTTGGAGGAAATTGCCAGTGTCTTGAAGAAAATGTTAAATCATCACAAATGGAGAAAGTTAAAGGGGGGGGGGTCCTACTTTTTCTTGATTATACCTCACCTGGAGTCTAGTGTGTCATTGTCTAATAAGTTCTGTCTAAGCACAGAAATGCACCTGTTTAGAGATGGCAATAATATGGTGAGAGACCGTCTTCCAAGTAATGGTTGAATTACAACAGTAATTGTAATTAACCCTTAACTATGTGGCAGACATTGTTCTAAATACTTCTGGTGGTTATTTATTTATGGTAATCTTCATCCTACGAAGTAGAAGTTTTTCGTATGAGTAAATACGAGAGGTAGTCCCTTTTGGGTCCCATAGGTGTAGTAAGTGGTAGAGCCCAAGCTGATTGGTTGTTGCCTTCACAATCTAGAAGAGGAGGCTGTGGAATCAAACGAAAGCTACTGGCAAGTTTCTTAGGAGGCAGCTGTAGCCTTGACCTTAGACTTAACAGAAGAGCGTAAACCAAAACCCACAGAGTTGATTCCTGCTCACAGCCAACCGGCATCTGCTTTCCAAGAACATACGGTTTATGAGTAGAGCATTTTATTTTTCTCCTGCAAAGTGGCAGGTGGGTTTGAACTGTCAATCTTGTGGAGAGCAGCCCAACCTGATACTTATAAGTGTCTCTAGTACCTTAAAGGGAACAGTAAAAGTACTTTATTGAACTTATTTGCTTGTATTTCACCTCTATTAACCTATTTTAAGAATTATTTTTTATTTACTCTTGGACCACCAAATTTAGATTAGGTCTTGACATAGAATTGATATGCATTTCTTATTGAATGAAAAAAAGTGAATGTATGGTCCTTAATTTGATTATAACTGTGCAAGGGTGGAACAGCTTTCTGTGAGGTTAGGAGCTTCTGGTCATTGGCAGTAGTCAAGCACTGACTGCATGAATGCTTGAAGGATGTCCCAGAAAGGGCTCCTTTGCCACGTGCAAGTGGAAGATTAGATTCGTTGCCTTCCAACTATGCATTATCTGATCTTATGCTAAGATAGTTATGATTCTCCAGATATTTACTCATCACCTCTTCTGTGCCTGGCATTAAAGATGAAAGATAAAAGTGGCCGAGCCAGTATCCATAGGAGCTAGGAGACAGTGGATAATTAAGAAAAGAGGTGTGTAATAGTACAGGTGCAAAAATTTAGTACATAAAAATACATAGGTTAAGACAGATTTTAGAGATGTTTTGCATAAAAGGGAATTGGGACTTGGAAAAGGTGTGGGGTGGGGTGGAGTGGAGCTGTTAAAATGAAGGATGACCCTGAGCTTGTCTGCCGAGGATAGCGACTTTGGGGAGTGAAGACCGTGTGCTATGGTGGAATTACACTAAAGGAAAATGTAAGTATTTGCCGTCCATGTATGTTGTAGAGCTGGGTGTAATTCAGCAGAGATTAATTTATGAAGTATTTTGAAACTCCTGGAACAAGTGTACCTTCCTTATTAATCTCCAAACCAGTAAAGATGACTCAGTTCTTCCCCCTCGCTCTCTCAGGGCACCAGCAGGCAATGGAGCAGTCTGTGAAGCCATGCAATGCATGTCACGGGGCAAGGCTGGGGACTAGGACAAGGATTCTATCCTGTGTGTACAAAAAGGCCCTTCAGTTTCCTTTCTGACTCATGGCCCTGGACTCTATTAGAGTGGTCTTTCTGTGCATTTCCCTGGCCCTCTCCTGCTGCTCGATTTTCACACAAGTCCTAATACGTCTTGACACAGAATCCTCCTCTCTAGCTGGGACATGATGGCTAGGTGGGTGGGGGATTCCCCTGCTATGTTTGAAATCATAGCTGTTTTTGGATTTGGCTAGCATGTTCATGATTAGTTTACTGACAATTGAGTTGCTTTCCCCAACCCCTTTTTATACCATATGCTGTTCTGTGATTCATCAGCTCTGAGTCTCTTGCCTTGAAGGTGAAACTATTTCTTCCAATGTTGCTATTTCATAATCTCATAGATAACAAGCATATGCATATGCATAGTTCTTTCAGATGTTTGAAACATTTGGAGATGAATGAATTATGCTGCTACAAATGGAGAGGAGCAGCCGAAAAGAAGTCATCACTGTGTTATCCAGTTCTCTTGTGCGGGGCGCTGGGGTGGATATTGATACTGCTGAGAGCCTGGGCACTGTACTGTCTTCTCTAGCTCCTTGTCCCAGTATATCTATGTATGTTTTTACAGCGTTAACAGTTTACCTTCATTGTCCAGATTTGCATGTGTTTTTATATATTAGACCAATTAACATCTTTATTTTTGGAAGTATGTGAAGTTTAAATTCCAGATCAACCCTAACACTAGCTGTTTATATTGTAATGGTCGCAACTCTCCTATATTTAATGTGTGACAATGACTGCTCAGACCTCAAGAAATATTCTTTTATTTTTCACGTAAATAGTAAACTTATATGATCTCGTCAAAGAACACACTGTGTTTTCTGGATACAAAACAAAGCCATCACTTTTTAATGGATATTTTCTAGTATTTAGAATGGACTCAATTCTGTTTCTGTCTGTACCCAAGCCGAACCCGACTGTCAAGTCAATTCCAACTCTTAGTCACTCTGTAGGCCAGAGGAGACCTGCCCTTGCTTCGTGACTGCCAGTCTTTGTGGGGCAGCGGCCATACCTTTCGCCGTGGAGTGGCGGGTGGGTTCAAACTGCCATGTTGGTTTTCAGCCGAGTGTTTGGGCCACTGCACTCTCAAGGCTGCGTTTGTTTCTGTCTGTAAGTGGCATTAATCAGTGCACTTAGTATCTCTCTCCTTTTACTCAGAATGGCAACGACGAAGAAAATGCTGTAATTTCTTTAATGAAGAAAACATTATAATTTCATGGTGTAGATGTGTGTGTACATACAACACATGTATAAATTATATGCTTAAAGAGATTTTTTGCACAGTCTCATTTTCGGCATCTCCCTCCCCTCCCCCCTACCCCACCCCCATCCCCTTACCTGGTTTTAGCTCCTCTTTGGTTCAGGTGTGCTGGTGTCCCTAAGCCTTTCTGGACCGCAGCTGGAGAAAGTGGTGATTGACAGAAGCCTGGTGGGGAAGCTCATCTCAGACACCATCAGTGATGGTAATTACCCCCATTGTGCAGACAAATTGCCTGCATTAACCATGGAGCAGGAGAAATAGTGTGTCAACAGGTAGACTAAGTATTACCACCGGGGACTTGCAAGCACAACAAGTAATTGCTTGTAATAGCATAGTTACCACCCTTGGGACCAATACAAGTTTTGACTAATATTTAATATCAAAGTTTTTGTCGTGTCAAGCATCAGGCTTATTCTCTGAGTGCTTTCCACACTTTAAAAAGGGAATTTTAAAAAATGTGTTTCAAATTGGTTGATTGTGTTTGTGTGTGCATGTGTGTTCCTCCAGGATTAGTTCCCTGTTGTTGACATTTCAGGTACTTTCACATGCAAATGGATTTTGAATACATACCACAAGCATGTATGTCAACACAGTCATGAGTAAAAAAACTCTGTGCTTTGGCCACAGGACGATTTTTAAAAATTTTTTATTTATTTTATTTTAACTTTTACTTAACCCTTTATTGACATGAAATATGGTCTCAGGCTTTCAATTGATTTAAGCCAAGGCAAGGCCTTCTATCAGCCACCTTGACTTTCCATCAGCCACTTTGATCAAACAACATGGTTTCTTCCAGAGAGGCTTAAGGGGCATTTTTGCCCCCTTAGTTTAAACTAACATTTATTGCATTTCTTTATTTATTTAGCCATCTTAGACAGGATTAACCAAAGATAACTTCTAGGAATTAAAACTTTAACTTTCCATATTTTAAAAAAATCATTTTATTGGGGGCTTGTACGACTCTTATCACAATCCATCCATCCATCCATTATGTCCAACACATTTGTACATTTGTTGCCATCATCATTCCCAAAACATTTGCTTTCTACTTGAGCCCTTGGTATCAGCTCCTTATTTTATCCCCTCCCTCATGAACCCTTGATAATTTATAAATTATTATTATTTTGTCATGTCTTACTGTCCGACATTTCCCTTCATCCACTTTTCTGTTGTCCATCCCCCAGGAAGGGGGTTATATGTAGATCCTTGTAATCGGTTCCCTCTTTCTACCCCACCTTCCCTCTACCCTCCTGGAATGGCCACTCTCACCACTGGTCCTGAAGGGATCATCTGTCCTGAATTCCCTGTGTTTCCAGTTCCTATCTGTACCAGTGTATATCCTCTGGTCTGGCTGGATTTGTAAGGTAGAATTGGGATCATGATGGGGGTGGGGGTGGGGTGGGCGGGGAAGCATTAAAGAACTAGAGGAAAGTTGTATGTTTCATTGTTGCTACACTGCACCCTGACTGGTTCATCTCCTTTCTGTGACCCTTCTGTAAGGAGATGCACAGGACAATTTTTTTGTCACCAAAGAGCCACCCAAACCTATGAATAGTAATTTTTGAGAGACTTTAATCTATACTTTCTACATATACGAAATCAGGGCCACATATATTGAGAGAATCTGGATTCTATTAGGTGATACCACCATCAGCTTAGAATTGGTACACAGCACCTAAGAAAAAAGATTTTATGCCACTTATTGGAAAGGAAGGGTATACTGATATAAAGACTATGCTGTGTGGCAGCATACCTATTTCAATGAATCCAAAGCAACCTTAAAAGGTTCAGTTATTTCCAATTTATGGATGAAGAAACTGGAGCTGAGATACTAGAGAACCTGCCAAGGAAAATGGCTGAGCTGAGATTTGAACCCAGATGTGTTAGTCTGGGTACTTTAGAGAAAGAAATCCACAGAAACTCATGTATAAGACAGAGTTTTATATAAAGGCTAAGTGCGCATCAAGAAAACATCCCAATCCAGTGCTGCCCAAGTCCACAAGTCCAACATTAACCCATATGTCCAGCACCAATCCACAGTCCTCCTCCATCTCACAAAACAGACACAGTGATGCCGACTGCAGGAGGAAAGCCGAGTCAGTGAACATGTAAGCATCTCAGCGCTGGCAGGGTCTCTACACGGCTGCTCCAGCACCCAGGGCTGCACCGGGGTAGGTCCATGTGGCTTCTCCTCAGGGATGTCTTGCAGGAAGTGAGCCTTGCCAGCTAAAGCAGGGAACTGGCTAGGGCAGCTGCACCCTGGTCCGACCATCAGAAAGCAAGAGACCCAAGAACTAGAAAGGCGAGGCTCACTGAGCCATTTGCTCCCCGCCCTTCAATTAACCCCACATGTGTTATCAGCCAGGTTGGCACAATAAACTAACTATCTCACCAGGTTTTGGCCTGCCAGGTCTATTTTCTGTACACTACACTGCATTTTTACGATGATGTTCTTTTATGCATGGTAAAAAGGAGTAGGAACAGATTGCGTTATCTTTAAAAGTGGACAGTTGTCAGTATCTTAAATTGAGTAATCAAAGGACAGGACTGAGTTGAGAATAAAGAAGCTTGCTATCGCTGCGTGCTCCCACTCATTAGCTACCTTGGGGTAAGCCAGGCACAATTTCAGACTCTGCCAGGTGACTGTGATTAGCAACAGTACGGATGGTAATAATCTGGGGTAGGTTGTGAGGGTGCCACTTCCTCTTCCTTGCAGCAGTGTGGTGCTAAGGAAGCCACGCGCCCCTCTGCCTATGAGAGAGGGTCCATGTCCATATGTCTCGTACTCACGTGGCACAGAAAATAGTGGCTGTCATGGTTTTGTCATGTGATGCTCCTCCCTGAGAAAGAAGAGGAGGCTTCCAGCATGGTTCGCGTGTCTGAGTTATCTTTTTTCACAATTCTTTTATTTAGACCCCAAGTAATACACTCTCGTGGGACCTTAATAACAATGTGCTTTTGTGGCGGTATCCGGATTTTCGCATAATTGTGCATGTAGATCCTCCACTGGTCCCTGCTTGCATGACCAGGGGTATAATGTAAAGAAGACATATAAAACCATCAATGTATACAGTTTTAATGCTAGCAACACTATAAAGCATTTCTCAAATTCCCTTGAGGTGATTTTACCAATTATATTCAAGAAAATCCCTTTATGTAATCCATGAATGTTACCTATCGACTTGTGTGTTCCAGAAGAAATAAAGTGACTTTATTAATCTTCATTATAAAATATTAATTTATATAATGTACCTACTGGGCATAAAATGCTTTATTTCATTCCACATGTATGTCCTCAAAAGAAGGTACATTGATGTAAACGTTTAAATTATTTTTTTAAAATAACTTAGGTACAGAACACTAATCTGTATTCCTTAATAAATCCAATTTATTCTCACCTGGTTTGTGCCATATAAAGACAGGATCAAATACTACACACAAGTAAAAGTCAATGTTTCCATCTCTACATTCAGGTGTGAGATAGTCTTTAGTTTATGTTTTCTTAGGCCTGGTTCCCAATGTGTTTCATTTGCTTATTGTCCCCAAGAATGTGGAAATGGTCACAATCAAATCTCTGTATGATTAGATTGGTGATGATTATTTTCTCCTAATTTTCTTTAATATTCTGGTAAGAAGTTATGGGAATTAGGAGACTTCAATGATTTCCATGTACTATAATCCGAAAATAGCTTTTTATACACCAGTGGGGGTAAAATCCGTGAATTATTATTTTCTTGGTAACTTGGTAATATGAAATTCTCACTAAATTATTGTTTTTCAGCTCTTCTCACAGACAGTTTTATCATCTTATCATTTTTGGCACAAAACAAGCTATGTTTTATTCAGTTTGCCAAGAAGATCGTTTCTCCAGATGTGAATAAAAGACTGGAAAAACTCTCAGCCTTGGATTATAAGGTACAGATTTCAAGTGATAGAGTGTAGCATTCAATACTGAAGTGTGCTAAAATATCACAAGTTGACGTTATACTCATTATTCTCAAGAGCACCGGATTTCAGAAAAACCAGAATTGTTGTAGTATTAAGTTTGACTCACTGGAAACAGTAACCAATCTAAGTTTCTTTTTCATTCTCACGATGGAGGTCTAACACTGGAGTGTTTGGCACCACTTATATAAAAAAACATACAAAAGAGGCAAGTTATAGTTTTGAAAATGGTTTTCTCGCTAGTGGTAGTAGACACACTATTCTCATTTCCCCCTAACACCGCATATCGCCTCTCTCCAGGCAGGACTAGCTGTCTGGTTCCATTTCACAAGGAAAGAAAGAAGGAAGAAGGCACGTTCAAAGGTTAATAGAAAAGTGTAATCAACAAGGACTACCTACCTTGCCCCACTCCTGGCCCCCACCATAACTGGAGAAAATGCAAAGAGAAACCCATCTCTTCCACACGTGGGTCTCGCTCCCCTCACTAGCTCCACGCCGTTTGTCGGCTTGTATCAGAGACTTTGCATCTGCTAAGGCAAGATTTGTATTTTAAATGAAGTGTTTAAGTTTTGCCACATTACATTCTAACTTGCTTGGAAGGCATACTCTGTGCTAGGATGAGGATCTAATACATTTTCCAGGCGGTTTCAGTTCAAGGCCTCTTTTCAGCGATGACTTGTGTTTGCAAGATTGATCCAGCCTCTGTGACGTGGATTTGAGACAGTTCACTGTTCACTGGAAACAGAGCTGATAGAAGCTCCCTTCAAAAAAGACACACACGTATGCCAGACTGAGAGAATCTATAGCAAGGGTAAAGGGTTTTAGAAGCCAGCTTTGTGGCTTGAAACTTTTGTGTGTGTGTTTTGGGGAAAGTAGTATTTAGCCTAACTATTTGCCCTTTGGGGTTATGTCTCATTTTGTGGTAGTGGCGTGCAAAAGATTTCATTTTATTTAGTAGAAACATTTCTTCTTATTTAAAAAAAAGATCTTTTTTAATATTGAAGAAAATATACCTAACAAGCTTTTCATTGTGGAAATAACTAACATCAATTTTTGTCTCTCAGCTTTGTGGAGCTTTTATAAAACTTTGTGTAATATTGATGGTCTTTCCCTGGAAATCACTGATTCATATGTATTTTATTTAGGTTAGTCAAAAAATGAAAGGGTACTGGCATTCTTCATGGGGTGCTGTTAGTCAGAATGGCTGACTGTAGATCTGTGTATCTCTTTACTGATATTGGTCTTTAAGATGCCCCAATATATATTAACGTAGGCCATGTAAAGTAAATATTTTTAATAATAAAAACAATTTTATGACTGATTTCTCCATTTCAAGTGTGATGGGTCCCTTGGTGTAAAATCCTCTCATCTGAAGAAGGGTATTAACCCTATAGTAGGAAAGAGCTAAATGACCAGATGTCATCTTTTCTTAGAAACTAACTAGAAAATAGACCTAAATATTTGGGTCTTTACACTTCAAGTCAGGCAGTTAGTTAGTTACTTGTTTACTTATTCTTTCTACCTTCAGATTTAGAAACTTTGGGACATAGCCATTCTATGTCATTTCTATAAATTGGAGAAATAACACACTGTCTTTTGTAAGACACATAGATTTGATTTTCTGATTCAGTATTTAAAATGCACTTCTCCAATACTTACTCAAAATCATCATTTGTCTATAGGCAGGATATTTTAGAAGCTTGTTCATTTCACTTACCCATTGCCCATCATGATAAAGTACTGATGCAATTAATACTCAGAAAACATGACATTTCAGGTAACATAAATAGTTTGCATTATGCAAAGACAGAAGATGCCAGTTGCTAGTTTTAACTCTTATTTTTCCATCCAGAAATTTTGTATAAAACCTATTTAGGTGTCAAGTAGGTTATCACTATAATGTCTGTGTATTTTTCAGGATTTACCCATCTAATTGTGGTATCGCCCTCAAATAAACACATGGCTAGTTCCAATATTGATAGTGGGAGTCGAAATATAAAAATTTACCCTTGAGAGCTTAAGTACTTTGGTTATTGCCCATTTGGATTTTAAAACAAGGAAGTGGTATAGATGACTGTAATTCTGCTTTTCTCTACAGCAACACCATGCTTTAATTCTCTCATACTGAAATAATTTTGACAACACAAATTGTAAATATTCTGAAATGACTGACCTTTCACAAATTTCCTCGTCTACCTTTAAAAAAATCCAATTCAATTTATTTAACAGCAAAGGGAAGTGCAAGGAGTTAACTGTTTACCGTGAGAGAACAACACTGGTAATTACTTTGATTTCAGTTCCTTGTGATGTGCATTCAGAGGATGAAGAGGTCAATAATATTATGGCCATGCAAATAGAAAAGGGTTCCTTTTGACCATATTAAAAAAAAAAGCAGAGGATTATTAAAGCATTAACCTTGATTTTAATGGCCTTGGTTGAGTGGTGAGATCACAATTTGGATGAGCCTGATTATTTACTAAATACAATACATAAATGCAACGGGTTCTTAACACCCATTGCACTCTGGCATTATCGCATTACTGCCATCCTTTGTTGCCTTGCAGACAGGAATATGAAAGCAATCTGTCATGTAGTGAGACTGGCTCCAGAAGCATTTCTCTGATAAGAAGACCCCCTGCCCTTTGCTAGTGTCTGGTCCAGTAGGCTTAGCCATGCGCTTAATCCCCAGAAAGTGGTTCGATTATTGCTGACCAGCAATGGCAAGATAGTTGTTGTGTTTTTTTTTTATTCAAAGCTATCAACCTTCCATTAATTCCTTAAGCAGAAATACGGTGCAATCTATATTTCCTTGGCATGTGTCACCCAGATGGTGCCGTGCTTATGTTTTCAAATAGCCAGGTTCCAAAATAACATGGTTTAAATAATAAATTCTACAAATCCTTCCTAAGAAAGAGAGGCATAATTCTCGGAAGCTGCCTAGACTTTTCCGCATGATGCTGTGGTTTATCCCCTTTATGCAGAATATATGTGCATATGTCTCATAGATTCCTTAAAGAAATATTTGCCTCAAGTTGTTGTCAGTCATTGTTCATGTGTTATGTCTTAAACAGTAGTCAGACACTCTTGGTCAGCAGTACTGAACTTGTCATTTAATACCGCTGGTCTGAAATTGATGTGTAGGTCGATGCTGTCGGACAGCCATGACTGTACCTTTTGGTATTGATTGGATGTGCTCAAGCCAGTTCCTCCCTGACTCACATTTCTCCTTTTCTTCTCCTCTGATAAAAATGTGAAGACTTTCGAACATACGTCTTTTTTATACATGTGTCAAATGAATTGGGTAAATTCTGACATCTCCCTAGGAACATGTTTAATGTGCGTTATTTACTTGTATTTATCTCCACTTACAGACCCTCTCAATTTTGTCACAGTGGGGGAGATTTTTGCATCTTTCAAGAGAAATTCTTTTCTTGTTTTTAACCCATTTTCTTAATTTTCACCCGTTAGATTTCCTATTATGAGATACCTGGTCCCACGAACAGGACAATTGAGCGGCATCTAGCCATAAGCTGTGCTCAGGACACAGTGCTTTGCTGGTGGCCCCTGGACACTGATGGTGCTTGGCCTTGGACCCCCATTTCTTCTGAGAAGGACAGAGCCAACCTACTGCTCCTGGGTCATGCTCAGGGGAGACTGGAGGTAAAGCTAAAACAAATGTACACATTTTAATGAGGAGCAAGTAGAATAAGATGATGACTGTTTTCTATCCTGAAATAAAGTTTGAAAAGTAAAATTTCAAACTAAAACCCCACCCCCACCCCCATCAAACACTAAAAAAAAAAAAAAGGAAGTGCCGTATGGAATGGGATCTGAAAAAGAACCCTATCTGGTGGATACCCGGGCAGTTCTGAGGCTGGCTGGGACAGCACAGGCTCCTGTGTGCAAACTCTGCTTGGTCACTCTCTGGCCTTCGGCAAGCTCCTCATTTGAAAAGTGTTCCTGAAAACAAATGCGTTAATCCGCCATTGGGAGCAATGGCTGCACGCAGTGAGCCCCTAACCACTGCTCACGATTGTGATTGATTCATACTGTTCTCATCACGAGTACTATTGTTATTGTTTGCGTAAGATTCCATGCTTGCTAAGGCTTTGTTATCAATCAACCTCTTCAGACTTCGATCAGCCAGCTCACAAACGGAGTCACCGGCTTCTATGCAAGACCCTGAGGTGTCAAGCCATGGCTGGGATAGGAATACACGTCTGGAGAGTGCCGCACAATGGTGATCTCACTGCAGGAGCCTCTCTAGGGCTGGGGCACCAAAGGGATGAATCTCGGGGGTGAGGACAATGTGTCTAGGCTATGTACTCCCAGCTGTGACCCCGACATGCATTTCTATATGTGAACTTTCATGTAGTCTCAGCTTCACCAGTACTGTGGATATGAAAGTTTCTGTTCTCTCTTGTGTGAGCCCTGGGAGGGAACATCTTGAAGGAGCGCCCTCTCTCCCGCCTTCTCATCCCCTTTAGTTTTGACCTGGATCAAATAAGATGCTCCTATCTTTGCTCCAAGTCGATTGTCTCTTAGATGTGAAGGAGTTTTTCCAAAATTATTATTCTGAGATACAATGACTCATTCTTGCCATTCTGTAGCCCTGCTTACCTCTTCTGGTTCCATAAACTTTCAGGATGCCTTTTAAGACTGACGTCTTTCTTGGAAACTATTTTCTTTAGAAATCCTCTCAGACTCCTGTAGATATTTTAGTTTCCTTTTGCTGGAACTTTCCCAAGTCTGCTGCCATGACTAAAACCATGCAGGCTCTCTGTTTGTGCTTGCAGTGGTTTTGTGAAGTTACGACAATTCTGTTTCTTGCTCTTTTTCTGCCCACCACCTGTTGCCCCTCAGTTCCGAAACTCATTGAGCCAAAAACACTTCATCAAAGTGACGTAATGTAGCAAAGTTCATTAGAATTCAATGAAGTGTTCTGTGCAATAACACAAGTACAGATAGATTCAGCCTTAAGTTATAATTACCCAATGTCTTTTTATTTAACAATAATGCATTACATGCAATGTGGACTGTCCTAACTGGGTGTCCCTAAGGCCTACATACTCTGGTGTCATCTAGATCATGGACCCAGGAGCTGGACAGACTTGGTTTTACCTATTGGGTGGACCACACAGACTGAAGCCTGTGAGAAGCACAACTCAACAGGACTGCCTTGTTTTTCCAGATCTCGAAAGTCCTCTGCCTTTGACAGCGTATCACTCTCTGTTAACAAGCCTTACTTCCAAACACCCAGCCAGTGTACCTTCTCTGGCAGGTTCTCATCTGACAGACTCTTTACAAGTTTTACTATATTAACTCTGTTGACCTTAATCAAGCCTAATCGCTGTAAGTTTCTGCCTGCTTCTAGTTAATTCTATGGTCTTGGGTGAATCCCTTGCTTTCTCTAGCTTTTGTTTCCTATTTTTTAAAACAATGAGTTTAAACCAAAACTACGGAAACCACGTTCTCTGCCACGGAGTCAATTCTGACCCATAGCAGCCCTATGAGATGGGATAGAACTTCCCCTGTGGGTTTCCAAGACTGTAACTCTCTAGGGAGCAGAAAGCCTCATTTCCAAACACGTAACCCATTACACCACTAGATCTCCGTGGGTTTAAACCAGGTAAGTGCTTATCTGAATAGTGAAGCAAAGATCTAATTTAGCATTGCCCTGCTCAAATGCTGAAAGGAAATCTGAGGTCAAACATAGCATTGACCCAGAAAAGCCTACCGTGATTGACTCTGACCTACCTTTCCAGTGCTTTTCTTTCCTTACACAAATCTTTGGTATAAGCAAATAAATTTACTCACTATCTCATGATATACCTTCCCCTGCATGCCTGTGCTAATAGCATTTCTACCCAGCAGGTTCTTCTGCTCTCGTCCTACATCGTTCAGTAATTACTGAGCGTGAGCACTGTATAGTATGCTGGGGATTCAAAGACGATTTTTAAACCCTCTTTGCAAACATGAAATTAGTTCAGTGAAATAATGAGGTAACAGTGCTAGGAGTAGAATGGGAGAGTTAGTCGCTGTCGTAACTATTGCCACCAGGGTACCAGTTCATGCGTGGGCTTACGCCAAACATGTCTCCGGGATCAGGGCTGGCTGCAGACAGGTTCTTTGAGTAATACACTTGACTTAGTCTCATTCAGGTACCTTCACAAAAGATCCAATCCAACAGTGGCTTCAGAGGGGACCTGCTGGGGCCAGTTCAGTTCAAAGCAAAGAGGTCAGCTCAGAAGTTTATGGAGACTGTGTGGGGGATGGCAAAGAGACTGATCTCTTTGGACAGCATGTCTAAAGTATGTAAGAGCAAGTCTTGCCACGCTTGCCTCTGAGGAGCACTCTGGCCTTCTTCCAACACAGATTGGTTTGTCCTTTTAGCAGTCCGTAGTACCACAATTCTTCTCCAGCACCACAGTTCAAATGCATCTATTCTCCTTTGGCTTTCCTTATTCAATGTCCAACTTTCACAGGCATATGAGGCAATGGAGAATACCATCGCTTGAGTCAGGTGCACCTTAGTCCGCAAAGTAACATCCTTGCTCTAAAATACTCTAAAGAGGTCTTGTGCAGCAGATTGCCTAATGAAACTTCTCCTTTGATCACTTGACTGCTGCTTCCATGAGCACTGATTGTGGATCCAAGTAAGACAAAAGCTTTGACAACTTCAAACTTTTCTCCATTTTTCTTGTATTTAAGCAGGTATCTTAACTTTTTAGCTGCAGTAGATTTGATAATGCTTTCTGAGTATGGTGCTAATTCAAGGTATTGCACTTAGAAAAAAACACCTGAATTTACTAGCCAAATTAATAAAGACCACATAAACAGAGCTATCAATATTTTTTTTTAGATTTGATATTTCTTTAAAAAATTTTTTACATCGTTTTATTAGGGGCTCATATGACTCTTATCACAATCCATACATACATCAATTGTATAAATCACATTTGTACATTCATTGCCCTCATCATTCTCAAAACATTTGTTCTCCACTGAAGCCCCTGGCATCAGCTCCTCATTTTTGCCCTCCTCCCTCCTTCATGAGCCCTTGATAATTTATAAATTGTTTATTTTGTCATATCCTGCCCTGTCCGACATCTCCCTTCACCCACTTTTCTGTTATCCTTCCCCCAGGGAGGAGGTCACATATAGATCCTTGTAATCGGTTCCCCCTTTCCAACCTTCTTTTAAAAATTTTTAATAAATCATTTTATTGGGGGTTCTTACAGCTCATAACAATCCTTATATCCATTGTGTCAACCACACTTGTACATATGTTGCCATCATCCTTTCGAACTGTCATAAACCTTTGATAAATTATAAATTATTATTGTTTTCATATGTTACACTGTTCATTGTCTCCCTTCACTCATGTTTCTGTTGTTCATCCCCCATGGGGTGGGGGTGGTGTTATGTATCCATCATTGTGATCGGTTCCCTCTTTCTGCACCCCTTCCTCTACCCTCATAGTGTAGCTACTCCCGTTATTCGTCCTGAGAGGGTTATCTGTCCTGAATTCCGTATGTCAAGAGCTCTTATCTGTACCAATGTACATACTCTGATCTAGCTGGATTTGTAAGTTAGAACTAGGGTCATGATAGTTGGGGGAAGGAAGCATAAAAGAACTAGAGCAGTGGTTCTCAACCTGTGGGTTGCGACCCCTTTGGAGGTCGAATGACCCTTTCACAAGGGTCGCCCAATTCATCATAGTAGCAAAATTACAGTTATGAAGTAGCAATGAAAATAATTTTATGGTTGGGGGCGTTCACCACAACATGAGGAAATGTATGAAAGGGTCGTGGCATTAGGAAGGTTGAGAACCACTGAACTAGAGGAATGTAGTATGTTTCGTCGGTGCTATACTGCACCCTGGTTGGCTCATCCCTTCCTTGTGACCCTTCTGTTAGGGGATGTCCCATTGTCTACAGCTGGACTTTGGGTCTCCACTCCGACCCCCCATGTTCGCATCAATATGATTATTTGTTTGGGGTCTTCTGATGCTTGATACCTGATCCCATCAACACCTCATGATCACACAGGCTGGTGTGCTTCTTCCCTGTTGACTTTCCAGCTAGATGGCCACTTGTTTATCTTCAAGCCTTTAGCTATTTGTCTTCTAAGACTTCTGTCATGAGTTAAGGTTTTGCCATGAGTTAACCTTCAACATTTTTGTGATGTGTTCGATTTGATAAACTCACAGAGGTCATTTCCTCATAATAATTATAACCAGTTTCTGCAGTGATTAGCATGCATAACAATTGGGAAAGTTAAAATGTGACATTTTTAAGATAGCATAATTTGAAAAAGAAGCCTTCAAGAAAACATTACAAATCCATTCAACTTAAATGCCAAAATAAGAGGGTAAGTTAAAAGAATTGCTACTAGGGTTGCAGTTTATACCTGCATGAGTTTATTCCAAATAAAATATGTCACAGAGGTCAGCAGACGGCTACAAACAAATTCTCTCAGAAATACACTTGTCTTAATCTTGTTAGGGTATCTTCAGAGAATTTTAGAAATTTACGGTGACTGGGGGGGGATTCTGGAAGAATCATCTTGATAATTTTTCTCAAAGACACAGGATAATCACAGAGGCTTCTTCTGAAGAAGTTTTAGGAAACTGTAAAATTGCATCGGTGAGGGAAAGA